AGTGTAAGCAGCTCACATCCTTTCCATCAGCCTGTGCCAATGTCTCTTCAGTGAATACGAACCCATGAGTGTTGGTTAAATGCCTCCTTTACAAACAGCATTTGCCCTTCAAATGTACTTGTGGGCTAGTTGGTTGGTCATATTCACGATAAACAGCAGCATACACTGGGTTAAGGCGCAAACACAAAACATGAAAAGGACGACACAAGCGGTTCTGACGTCCTTTTCGTGTTTGCATCTTAACCTGGAGTGCGCTGCTGTTCATCGTACATCTGCCCTTCCCTTTTTTCATTGTTCCTAATGGAGGTGCTAGCTAGCAATCATTGCAGTGCGCATTTAAATCACACATGTGCACACCACTACCTCCTAACACCCTGAATGCAAGACTGAAGCTTTTGCAGGTGCAGCTCAGAAACCGTAAGTAAATACTAGCAGCATTCAGTACATGCATGAAAGAAGAAGAAAAGCCTTCATTCCTTCAAAAATTATTTATTCTCTTTACAGCGAGGATCCTGTTCTGGCAGACTTCATGCCTTCAGGTAGTATGTGAGGGCGTATTGGTCAGCAGTCGGCTCATTAAAAGAGCACTTGCTACGTGATGGCTACAGGCAAGAAAAAGCGTACCACACTTGTTGTCATGGTTACTAGCACCCTTCAGAAGCACCCCCAAGTTTGCAGACACTGAGATACCCAACAAAGTGGATAAGGTGGGTAGTGTAATCCAAAAGGTGCAGTTGCAGTTGGCTTTTCGTTCCCTTTACTTTCTTCAGATCTATACAGCAAATACTAAAATACACTTAAAACAGTAAATTAACCTTGGCTTCACTACCTCATGATTTTTATTAACACGCGCATAACGTTCCATTTTAGCATAGGCGTATTTCCACACACCCGGCTAACAACGCGCACATCTGCTTTGCTAGAAAATAGCTAAAAACCCAGGTGAAAATATCCAACTGGGAATCTAAATAGTTTCAACGGGCATTAACTGGGATCAACTGGTCCCAATTGCAGGTCAACTGGTTTCCGTTGGGAACAGTTGGTCCCAATCGGAAGTGGTTCCCGTTAGTAGCTGGTCCCAGTTACAGCTCAGCCGCTTTCAACTGGGAATCAATGAGAACAATTGGTCCCAGTTGCAAGTGGTTTCAGCTAGTAGCTGGTCCCAGTTACACCTCAACTGGCCACCAACGGGGACCATCGCCGGTTGAATTGGAAGCTGTTGGTCACAGTTATGTTCTAACTGGAAGTGCGACATGTTCTGGTTGTACGCTTCTTCACAGAGAAAGATGAAAAGAAGTTGAACTCGATTGTGTATGACGTAGAATTGTTGCACCTCAACAACTGCTCTTTATCCAAGCTTTTTTTTTTTTTTTATGCACACGAAAGCTTACCAGACCACCAGCCTAGTAGGACATATAGGAGGATAAGAAAATGAGTGCCTCATGATTTGCGAATATATTATATTTTTCTTCCTCGTCATCTGCACATTGTTTTAATCTCACTGACTCAATTAAAATAATATTATCACAGAATATTCAGTTGCACAAGTGCACAAACAAATTGCATTCAAATGTACGCTTGTTTCAGCTTCAGGAATTTCAACTGTAGCTGTTGCTAATATTTTTACGTCCATCATGGTGACAATATGCAGGCAAAGTGGTCCCAATTGACGTCAGGCTGTAATATTGCCGAATTATTCCACAGCGAGTATGCCTGCTTGAAGACTGTATGCTGCACAGGAGCATTACTTCCGAAACAACAACAAAAAAAAAACAGTGACAAGCCTGTAGCTTCCACGGCTTAGACTGCCGATATCCTATGATTCTGCAAACTCCAGCGCTAACGTGCATCGTACAACACCACATACGGTGTTTTACCACGAACATCTACTACTCTCTCCCATTCTGCCTGAATGGCCGGCAACCATCACTGTAGTTGCATATCTAATCTTACGCTCAAATACTGAATAAAACAGTAAAGTATAATCTGACTTAAATATGAAATAAACTGAAATGATATATATTAAGCACAGGTTTTGCAATTTTCAATGAAAGACGCGCACAGGCAGAAAAGTTTTTAATATAGTGACGAGCAGTTTCATACAGCACATGTGGTGAAGGCTAGCGCGGCGCAGTTGTGTTGTTCTTGATGAGGAACGAAGAGTCATGGCACGCACAATTTAGGTACTTTGATTAGTGCTCGACAGTTTCACCTCTGGAAGACTTTACGACTTCAGGCGATCGTCAACTGAGTGTGTTAGCTTGTGACAAGACGGATATGTGGATCCATCATGTTTGTAATTCTGCGCTGGCTGCCTTGTCTGAAATACAGCTGTTTAAAGGTAATAATTCTCTTCTTCTTCGAGTAAGTGAAGGTGCAGATATATTATAATCCAATACAGAATGTTCTGAGAGTGGAGACGATAAAATGTTGCCTTGTAAACAATGCTTTAAACTCTGCAGATTCGCTGCCATTTGTTTTGGAACGTGATAAAATATGAGTGTTGATTAGCACAATACTTGTGTTCAACAGCATGCTAAATAAATATGAAGTATACTCATGCACACTTCTATCCAAAGTACTAGAAAAGGGCTCGTATTTGCTCGGTAATTAAATATCCCCAAACCTGCTGTCTGTGTGTCAGCTTCGGCTTTACTGTCCAATGCCTTTCTTTGTTTTGCCACAGAGATAAGCTTCACGGTTTAAAAATCGGAATAGACCAAGACGTGAGCTTTACAGCTAGCGTTAAATTAATGTACTATTGGCGTCAAATGAAACCTGAACAGCGGAGCGCGTGTTTCAAGCATTAGAAACAGTATAGTGTTGGCCGTCCAGTCATCCCTATTGACAAGCGTGCACATCCGGTTCGGCAGCACTGCGCGATCCTCCTACAGTGCATTATCTCCGTTTCTGCTCTAGTTTTAGAATGGTGGTAATGGTGGCCATCGAGGGCATGTCAAGCACTTTTGATTGTATCACTCACAATCCCTTGCTTTTACTTCAGCTCGACGTGCAATCGGTGACTTGGCACAATAAAACCAAAAGAGAAATATAATCGGTTTCCGGTTGATTTTTAAACGATCGTTGTATCTCGTTCGCCAGCGCTGCTTCACCTGCAACCTTCTTTCAGAGACCGACCGGAAAAGGCTTCACTTTAACGGCATCTGCCGCTTCTTCGGAAGAGAGAGCGCAAATTGTTTCGCTTTACCGGAACAAAGTGAAACAGCATGAAAGTGCCAGCATTATGAACCGACTTTTGTCTACTATAACTAGAATTAGCCGGGAATTCCATGATGGACTCTGTGATGAGAATCCGTGCTACAATACTCGCCTTCGGCTGCAATAGTTTAACCTCTGTTTTTTTTTATTTTATTACTTTCAAATACCATACCTGGAACACAAGCTGAAATATTGCGTTATAGGGAGATCGCACAGTGCTGCCACACCGAATGTGCGGGCCTGTCTGTGCCAATGACTGGTCGACGGCACGCACTATGTCATTGATAAGGCTTGTGCCACGCGCTCCGCTGTTCGCGTTTCATTTGATGCCGACAGTACAGTGACATCTATGAGAATTCTCAAGGGAATCGAAATTTCAAATTATACATCACGAGTTAATTGTGTTGTTAATTGCTGAGCAAGGTAGTAAATTATACTGTGGTGTATCTGTACATTTTACTGATATGTACAATAAGAGTGTGCCTATTTATTCATAAAAGTTGACGGTATGGTGAAAATATTTGTAGTCAACTGCAATCACATGTTGAAAGGCACAATTGAGTAGAACCTCACTTATGATTGCTTCATGAAAATATCTTGCAATGGTATAGTCATCGATGGAGTCACATATTAAGAGGTGTGAATTAAGAGCCACTGTTTCTGCTTACAGGAGCCGTTCGTAATCGCGACTATAATACTTGTGTTTTCGTTGATAGCAATATCGGCTCTACAATTTTCTAATAAGATCAAATTTAATTTCTGATAGTATTGCATGAGGAAAGAGTAATTACAGTTTCACTAACAGTGTATATATTTCTTTCAGATGGGTCCGTACGCATGAGATCTCTAAATTAGCGAGCGTCTGCAACCTATTCAAAGAAACGATTAAGATGCTTCACAGCCCCTGTACACTCAATGATCAAAGTTTTTAATAAATGAAGTCCAATTTTAACGCCAAGCTTTCTTGTCTATATGAACCGCAGGGGTCCACTGGCAACTGAAAACAATCAGGACCAGTTCAAATGGTCTATGGTCTAATTTCCAGTGGGGACCAGTTGCCAGTGGTTTCAACAGGGACCAGTTGGAAGTGGTTTATGGTCAAATTCCCAGCGGGGATCACTGGCCAATGGGTCCCAGCTGAAACCCACTAGCGACTGGTCCCCACTGGGAATTTGACCATCAACCACTTGAACTGGTCCCAGTTGGAATATTTTCCCCTGGGATGGTGAGTCTCATTTTCACACTGTTGCAGATAGTACGCCACTTTTCCTTGTTACTTGCTAAAGCGTAGACAAGTAAAATAAAGTGCTGTTTAGTGCCTGCCGCAGAAATTGAAGTTATCAGTAATTATTTTTGAGACGCCATCGAATGAAGCATATTAGCCCCAAAATTGAGGGGACAAGAAGAAAACCTTACGGTGAATTTAGAAGTGTGTCAGCTTGGGCTAGTTGGTATGGCATGACGATAGTTATAGCGCGAGAACAAAATAGCGCTCGTGTCTTTCGTGTTCTTCTAGTCTCTGTGTCTTCGTTTTGTTCTCGCGCTATAACTATCGTCTTAGGGTCAACAATACCATGCATGACAGGGAGAAAGAATGCGACACAACACGCAAAATCTGCCGCTACTGATCACCAGCACCGACGAATCGTGAACGGGCTCCACGGCTGACTGTCGCGGCACCCCAAGAAACGCCGACTGCAAGGGCTGCTAATCTATCACGGCCAAATCAACGACGAAGTTTTGAACAGCGTCAGCCAGCGGACGACATTAGACGAGCTCACCTTGCGCTGCACACACGAGGCGTCGAAACTTAGCATGGCCCGTACGTCGTCCATCGCGAGTTGCCGCAGACCACGAGGCAGCAGCAATTACAACGGAGAGGCAGATGTGTGGCTAGAGTCGCAGGCGTACGATGGCGTTCATTCATTAGGTGCCTTGAAAAGTGGGAGACTACACCACACGTGCTCGGGCTGACAAGTGATATTTTCGGCGCCTCCAATCCCCACTACTGCAGTGTACTAGAACCACTACTGCTTTCGGATGGGCCGCCTAAAACCCCTTCATGCCTTTTCCGGCAGATAGGTTATATTAATGGCATGTTCGGTGGCGGCACCGGTGTCATTTTGCGTGCACTACGCGGTGTCACACGTTTGACTGCACCACAAGGCAACGCCTCCTCTAGAAGATGCCTGCCGCATGAGAAGAAAAACGGCTGCCACACCCTTTCTCTTCTTTATTTTAGAATGGATAGATGGATGGATGAATATGACTGTACCCTTTAGATCGGGCGGTGGCTAGCGCCACTAAGCCGTACGACCTAATGAACCAAAAACTATATTTATTTTTTTTTCCTTAAAAAGTGAGTCTGAGGATTCGTACTTTGCAGTGAAGAGTTTAATTTTCACTCGTACCTTGACTTTAGCCACCAATCAGATAACCTCCTTCTAGTTAAGTCAACCCGCTCAAAGTCTATTTTGCCCTCCCGGTCTCTAAACCCCAGTGCTTTGAAAAACTCTGCGCCATCATCCTGAACTAAAGGGTGAAGCCCTTTACAGAACATTATCAAGCGTTCGGCAGTTTCTTCTTCCTCTCCACACACACTGCATACTGTGTCTACCCCTTCGTATTTGGCCCGATATGTCTTGGTTCACAGTACTCCCGTCCTGGCCTCAAACAGTAGAGAAGTACCCCGAATATTATCATAGATCCTTTCCTTGGCAATTTCCTGCCTAAATGTTGTATAGACCTCTAGTGCGGACTTCTTAATCATGCCAATTCTCCACATGTCAGTCTCCGTTTCCTTCACTTTCTTCTTAACCGATAGTTCTTTTTTGGTTTGGCCACCAACTGTTTTCTGAGTATTTACCAGTCAACTTCCTGGTTCGATACCTCAATTTTGTATCGACATTCTTCATGTACAAGTAGCTGAAAACCTTCCTAGCCCAACGCTCCTCACCCATTTTTCTCAATCGCTTCTAAAGTTTTATCTTGCTGCTAGCTTCCCTGCCCTCAAATGATGTCCATCCCATATCACTTTGTACTCCCTGATTTCGTGTATTCCCGTGAGCTCCTAAAGCAAGCCTACCTATTCCACGTTGCTTAATTTCTACTGTTGCTTGAACTTCTGATCTCATGCACAAGACCGCATTGCCGAACGTCAGCCCAGGAACCATGACCCCTTTCCATATTCCTCTCACAACATCATACCTATTGTAATTCCACAGTGCCCTATTTTTCATGACTGCTGCATTCCTGTTACCTTTAGTCGTCACGTATATTTCGTGTTCCCTCAGATACTCGGTCCCATTGCTTATCCATACGCCCAGATATTTGTATTTATCTGTTATCTCTAGCGTGACCTCCTGTATTCTCTAAGCTCACTACGTTCGTTGTCATTGAAAATCATGACTGCTAATTTTTCCTTGCTGAATCTAAAATCTAACCTATCTCCCTCATTACCGCAGATGTCCATCAATCTCGGCAAATCTTCCTTGTAGTTGGCCATTAGCACTATATCATCTGCGTACATTAATGCTGGTAGTGCCTGATCAATAAGTTTTCCTTGTTTGACTAAAGAGAGGTTGAAGCCCAGTCCACTTCCCTCTAATTTTGCCTCTAATCCTTGTAGGTACATCATGAATAATAAGGGTGACAGGGGGCACCCATGCCTAAGCCCCCGTTTTGCCTCTGCAGGCTTGGATACTTGTTTTTCCCACTTTATAACTACCTTGTTACCTTTACAGATACCCTTTAAAAGATTAGTGACTACATGTTCCACGCCTAGTGTGTCCAGTATTCCCCACAATTCCTCTTGAACTACGCTATCATACGCTCCCCTGATATCCAAAAATGCTAGCCACAGGGGCCTGTGTTCCTTTTCTGCTATTTCGATGCACTGCGTCAGTGAGAACAGATTGTCTTCCAACCTCCTGTGTTTCCGAAACCCATTCTGCAGTTCTCCCAACACCCCCTCATCCTCTAACCGAGAATGTTCTCGGTCGCTAGCGTCACCTGTGGCGGACGGTGCAAACACGCAACACTTTGCATAGCCTCCAAAGTAGCTGTGTACAATTGCAGGTCTCGAACATCTCTCGACTGACGCGCCCCTATGGGCCGCAGATGAAAAACGCTTAGCTGGTACCAACGTTTCTAGACTAGGTAAGTTGCAAAACTCCCCGCGTCTGACAACTCGACACACGGCGCCGGGACAGCTTCCGGTTTAGTGGCACTGGCGGCGCAACAAGCTTCTGCTAGCAGACGAAAACGCGTAGTCGTCGTGGCAAGACGCGGTGGCGGCCGTTCTGAAACAACTTTGCCAAATGTATATTATCGAGATTTGTTGTGCTGCCGCAGAAACTTAATACTGCGTAATATTTAGTGGTGTAAGACAAGTACAGTATAATTATGGTTTTCTGAACTGCCCACAATAAACAATGCTTGATATATATAGCATAACATACACGAGCCTTTCGGTTAGTTGCTAGTTGATGTACGTTCGCAATAGATTTTTAGACGCGAAAAACCCAATTACAATGTCTGGCATCTTCTTTTGTGGCTGTGTTTTTCGGGCTTGAAAATAAATTACAACTATGTGGCACAATCTTGTGGCTTTTGTCTGGTTCAGTAGTCAGTCAGTCAAGAACTTTAATATATGGTCCTGAGGAGTTTAAGCCACCAGGGTGCCCACGTGGGACATCCTAGCAGCCGCTACCGTAGGCGACGCCCGAGTCGGGGCGGGAACGTGGTGGCGTTCCGCCAGTTCTTGGGCCCTCTGGACTGCCTTAAGTTGGTTTCGGAGATTGGGGCTCCTGAGTGCCTCCTCCCAGTCGGACTCACTGGTGAGAGGTCCCTCAGGTAACGCGGGACATTGCCAGAGCATGTGCGCGAGTGAACAGTACACTTCTGTGCAATCTGGGCACTGTGAATTTATGTCTGAGTTATAATGGCTGAGTCGGCCCCGTGATGGGTACGATCTCGTTTGTAACATTCTAAAGGCTACTTCTTGCGCGCGTTCGAGTTTTGAATGGGGTAAAGGGTATCGGCTTCTGTTGTGTCGGTAGTGGGAGGTAATTTCATGGAAGGTGAGTAGTGGGTCATTAAACTGCACGTCTGGGCCCAGCTCTTCGGTGGCTGATTGATCGTCACGGCGGGTCAGTTCTCGTGCTCGATCATGAGCCATTTCGTTGAGGTTGGGTTGTTGTGGGTGAACGTCTTTGCCCATGTGGGCAGGGAACCAAGAGAGGTAGTGCGAGCCCGTATATTTCCGTGTTTGTAAAATGCGGGCTGCTTCTGGAGCGATGTTGCCGGTTTCGTAAGCCCGAATGGCGGCGCGAGAGTCTGTGAAGACATTAGTGAGTGAGGGGTCGGTCATCGCTAAAGCTATAGCAACTTGTTCGGCTATGGCGCTTGTTGATAGCCTAACCGAGGCGGCTGAGCGTAGGGCTCCGTCGCCATCTACTACCGCGAGTGCGAAAGAGGAGGAGTTACCGTATTGCGCTGCGTCGACGAATGCGGTAGAGTTGCGATTCGCGGCGGTACGGTTTAGGATCGCGCGAGCGCGGGCCAGCCGTCTGCCTTCGTTGTGTTGTGGGTGGACATTTCGCGGAAATGGGGTTACCATGTAAGTAGCTCGGACAACTCTGGGGAGGGTTACTGCGCGTTCAAGGCAGGGGTGTGGGGACATGCCGGCCTCGCTTAGAAGTCGGCGGCCTGCCTTGGAGGAGGAGAGGCGGATCACTTGGGCCGTGGTCTGGGCCTCGATCACTTCATCGATGCCGTTGTGCATGCCTAGTTGGTCGAGACGGGAAGTGCTCGTGTTTTGAGGCAAACCAAGGACTTGTTTAATGCTTTTGCGCATGAGTGTGTTTAGTTTCGTCTTTTCTACCTGAGTAGTCAGCTTTTCTTTTTTTTTTCATGTCAGTCACATTCTTTAGCAACTTAGACCGTCGAAAAGCTACGCGTGTGGCCATTTTCTTGAGCATGTCTTCCCTCTGCTTCTTATGAAGTTCCTCTAATGAAACCTGTTAACACAGCTGCAGCCAAAGCTTCAAGCAGAGACCGCACTTAGGGGTATCGGTGAGCACTTCGTAGTCATTACTCACGAGTCTGCCTGCTGACGCAGTGGGACAACATGAACACACTTGCAGCTTTTCTATGTCCTCCAGAAGTTCTGCCCATTGGATGATGGTATCTGCTTTGCCAGGCGATAGTGACGGCTGCTAATGGTGACTGTCATGTCTTCTGCGATCTACAACGCATTTCTCCACAAATTGCGCTCTCTTTTTTTGAGCCCTAGAAACACCACAAGACGTCTTGTCTCGCCATTCTCAACAACGTTCCGGCAGCATGCAAAAAAAAAAAAACGTTTTCTATGTCTTGAAGCGAAATGACGCCACTAGTTGACGGCATGTCGAGACTTATTTCACTGTCTTCGAGCTCAGTGCTCAGAGATAGCCTATTATTTTTCGCCGATGATATTCTGGAAAATACCCCACTCCTATCGGGCAGCTTTCCCTTCTATGTCGCGGGCCCCTCGACAAAGGTAAGCGGGCAAGGTAAGCGGGCAAATTCGGGAGTATTCATGGAACGCATCCTTCGACGAGGTCCCACTTTCCTCTTGCGATTTGTACCTTCTTACCATATGACGTGAGTGAAAGTCTTCAGGATGCCCTTCTCATGAAAGTGCATATCACACACATGTGAGGTGCTGGGTAGTTTCTTATCCGCACGAGGAATAACGTGGTCCCATACCTCTCGCTGCTCAGGTACACGTGGGCACAAAAGAAATGTCGTGGTGTCTGTTATTTCCCGTAGCTACTCTACAGCCGAGAACGCAACATCCGGGCATGATGAAAACACGCAACACATACAAAGCAGAACAGGGCGCTCTGAAGCACAAAAATGTTCACGCAGAAAGAAGCCTCCACAGATATCGACGCACTGCAACATACACAGCGATGGACGTTACGGGAGTGACACGAGCGAGCGAGGTGTTTTGTGAGCGAGCATGCAGTGAGTGAATGTGGATGCGACAGCAGCGCCACATTTGTCGCTGGCAGCGGCGGCGCCGCACAACATCGCTCAGTTTTGCAACTTACCTAGTCTAGAAACGTTGGCTGGTACGGTGGTACCGACCGCTGCCATGATAATAATGGATGAG